GAGAAAATAAAATTTTGAATAATGATTTTTTGAAAAATGAGCAAATAAAAAGTAAGGAAATTTTTTCAATTTACGTACAAAATATTTTATTACGTAAATGTGTTATTGAAAATGAGTATGAAAATTAAAGATTCTTGAAATAATGATTACCAAACAGAGGCTAAATAATTGGTTCCCAAGGATAAGAGGCACATTATATGTAGAAAAACCCATTCGAGTCGGTCCCCAACCAATGGCACGCAAACACGAAAATGTTTGGTGCAATTACGAATAGTTTAAATCATAAATAGAAGTAAATGAAATACTGTATAAATAAATAAATAGTACTTGTGAATCTCTCCAAATATGCTGATAAAAAATGATTTCAATGTTTATAAACAGTTCATAAAATGAACCAAACATTAGTTCGACGTCACACAATTACCAATGGGTCACCTATTTGACAGAAAGAGAACTCGACCATACACAAGTTTATTCGAAGAAAACAAATAAAGATCTAGGAGAGACAGTAAAGAAGATCAAATCAAGTGCAAACACACCAAGGTTCAATCAATAAGCTTAACGAAAAAGTTCCGCAGCAGAATACTAATAACAAGATTTCACTTTTCTACCCGATAGGAATGGTGCTTTGGGTCTATATCTTCAGATCTTCGCCATTAAACCAACTGAAGTTGGCTTTGCTACGCCATTGTCTTTTACATCGTTCTCTTTGGTATCTATCTCACAGGCATTAGGCGGGACATCCACTGCAGGCGAGCAGTTGAAGAATCCATGGGGCTACACCCGAAAGGAACAATGTTATTAAGTAGCTCATAAATGAAATGGATACTAGGTAGAGATGACCATGAAGATACCAACACAGCAGAAATTTAGAGCTCTCAAGTTTTTTGCACCAATATTTCTTATCGGAGAAGGGATAGTTCCGAAGGATTTCATTCATTGAAGCAAGCACAGATTTGAAAATGATATGCAGATGCCAAAACAATGTGACAAATGCAAGAGTAGGCGACTGTTTGCATCTATTCTTTCACTCTAGTAGGATTTCAAGGTAAAGAGGACAGGAAAAAAAAAGGAAATCATCACTTTCGTGTTCGATCTCACTTTGCAAAACCTCTATATGGAAACTTGACTGCTGATAGCTGAGGGCAACAGACCAGAAATTTCTCAAGTCACCAAAAGAAGCAAATACTGCAACTGACTGAGAAACGTTTTTGATAACTAACCTGAAGCATAAAACCAATGTGTTCCACTGGCATAACAGGCCAGTCTTCCAATCGAGGAACGTGAGTAATTCCAAAAACATACCTACAATTAGCTAAATAAGTCAAAACGAGTAGGAAATCTTGAACATCTGCACTAGAAAAAGCATATTATAATAATTTAATATGACAGTAATATCTTCACATATTGTGAAGCAGGACGACGCATATCTGTGACGGTTGAGTTGGTATAAGGAAATGCGATCTTCAAATTTAATTACTTCTCCAGTTACTCAAAAAAAAGTTGTACTTTTGTTCAGAAACTTATCATGTAGGAGAATAATACGTATTATGCACAAGAGGGAGAGAGAAATAGAATACAAACCAAAGAACAATATCGTTTTCTTCCAGAGAACGATTCTTCTTCACCCAAGAAGCCAACCCCTCTCCAACACGTGGATTCTGGTTGGGAAACTCCCCTCCAGGAAAATCCTCCCCACGTGCATAGGGTGTAACCCATAGGTTATGCTTCAAAAATGCAGCTCTTCTCATAAACTTAGCCTCCGGACCAGCCAATGGCAAACAGTTCGAACCAGGTACCAATTTGTAGCCTGTCAGTTGGCCACTCCTATTGACAGTTCTCGTGTTCCGGACCTAAACAGTTGATGGTACAAAGTTCAATTCATAATCAAAATGATGGTTTTAGATTCTACAATGAAAAAGGTAACGGGAATTTAGGAATGTTTTGCTAGCCCGTCCAAAATAAAACCAGCCAAAAGCTGGTCTAAGCACAAATAATCAAGCCTCTCATAGAAGACACAAATTCCAAGCCTTGTTCAGGAAAAGTGAAATAAGGGACTCGTCCAATCTTTTAAAATACTAGCAAAGAATCAGAACAGAATGTTCAGTCAAAGAATGGTTTTTAGCATAGCAAAAGGATTAACAGATCCGGTACCAGGAAAAAAGGTGATTTCTTTCTAATAAAGGCACTCCAGTATCAAAACTTAAAATTACAATCCCACTGCAGTAAAGACAAATGTGTAATAAAAAATTATGAAACAATCCAATCTAAGAGCATGTAAGAATGCTTACAATCCAATGGCGAGCTGATGAAGGATCACAATCACGCATGGCTTCTAGTTCAGATCTAAGTAAAGTTTCCTCTGCATAGAATGCATTACTGTGAACATTATCCTTTCCAGGTTCTTCAACTCTCACATTCACTTCAACAACCTAAGAGAAAGGAAACAACAGTGGCCAAAAGAAAATGACAAAATATGCTGTGAAATTGCACCAGAGCATCTCACGTTATATTAATTGGGACATGACAATCAAAATTAGGTCATAAGCACACTTTTAATCCAGGAAAGTATAGTGTTAATTTTAGGCATATAAACACCAAAGAATTAAGATGGTTTCTGTGTATTAGTGTTATTTAGCGCACTGGAAATGTATGGGAACGTTACTAACTTCAGACCACATACCTGATTGTTTGCTTCTCCAGGCTTAGAGTCAACTGTCATGTCCATACGAGCAACAAAAAAGTGCTGATGAACTGGAGCATATAATCCTGGGGCAATTGTGGTGCCATATTTTCGAGATTCTCCGGGTTGCAGAGCCCCTAAACTGAGAATTCCAGTAAGTTTAACTTCAGCTTCAATTTTCCCATCCTGCACCCAAGGCGAAACGATCATCTTGCATTGTAGGATAGTAAAATATGATGACTTTAATTGGGGACGATGATCAACAATTCATGAAAGATGCTGATAAAAGAACAAAGATGGTGTCATACAGAATAAATACATGGAAATGACCCATTTTTTAATAAATTGTGGATGATATCATAGTGAAAAGCATGTCTTTACCAAATACAAGAAACTAGAAATATATGTTCATCAAGAAAATTTGAAATCAAAACACCATGGGGAAATGTTATCATGTGGATTCCTGTCATGAAGTTATGTGATAGATATATTACATGGAAGACTTTCCAAATTGTATATGTAATTAGAGTTTTAGATTCTCTAATCTACGTAGCAAATGATTGTGATTTTCAAAACAACACCATCAGAAAATATGGATTCATGACATTTTACATTATTTTGCAACTAATATTCAAGCCAAGAAACAATGGTTGTGCAATCAGGAAGAAATTTAGTCACTCCATCAATGGCCTTCCAGTCCCAAAATAAAACTAACCAAAAAAATAAAAAGGCCGACATACATGCGCACGCACGCACAAAGTAAACTGAAGGGGGTTGAAGAATTCTTGAAGCCCTATAATCTTTATCTTTCTTTCTTTTTCTCCTTGTGTTATCCTTTTGGCAAGGAGGGTATCACTAACTTAATATCTGACTAAGCATTGGTAATATGTTTCAGTCAAATGCAAACTTGTAGATAGGTTCATGCATGTGAACGAGTCATAGAAAAGAAATCAACATATCCCCATCACACATTTTCAGCTGCCATAGTTGAAAATATAATAGAAGCGAAATCCCACCATTGAATGTATTCCTCTTACCTGATAAAAGTGCCAGTAGAATCCATATTCATAATTAGCAACTGTGCAGATAAAAGAAACAGTGAGCCGCCTCGACCTTCGAACTTCTGCATGGCCAGTTCTCCAATCTTGATGCTTCCATAGGACTCCATGATCATCTTCGTGCAAACATACACAGTTTTCAATTGTTTCAACTCCTCCAGTAAAATTTGTAAAATGTGCATCGAAGTACTTTATGTATCCCAAACAATCACATCCCTGAAATAGACTTGTCTTAAATATATTTTCCTTACATTGAAAGATGAACGTGCTTTCTATTTAAAAAGGAAAAATTAACCAAAGTTTGGAAGTAGGCAAACCTTTTTAAGAGAATGAGCATTCTTCCCAAGACCATCTTCCCCAGCATCAAATGCATTCTTCCTGTAATGCGGATCATTGGGATCTCCATAGGGCACAACCATCTCTACAAAACTCAACCTATGGGCTATAGGTCTTCGACCCCGACTACCATCTATATAGGCAACAGAGTGAATAACCAAACCCTCTCTCGGGGTGAAACCAACCCGAAAATTCCACTGCCAACAAACAGTTCAAAAGTAAATCTTTCTAATTTACGTTCTGAGAATGAAAGAATAAGAATGTCTAAAATAAATACCTTTTGCCACTCTACATAATGTCCTCTAACTCGAAAGCTTGGACCCTCAGGCTGAACAATTTGCAGGGGTTTCACATCACTTCTATCAACCCCTCCTCTTGTTTCACCAGAGGTATAGTTCCTCAAGGGATCAGCTGGAGGTAAGGGGACAAGTTTACGATCTTCAAACTCAATCACAACCATATTTTGCATGTCAACAAGTACATGAATTCCTTCAACTGGTCGTGCATAACCATTTTCTAGAGGACAGTCACTCTCTGTTCTGCAAAATATAAGTGGTTTTGCAAGTCTGCGACTTGGAGCATCAGCCTCACTGTGATAACCGACACACCTGTAGGAAGTAAGACTATTAGAAATTTGAAATGTTACACAGGATTAATCCCATATTGCATTATTATGTATAAAAATCTAACCAAGGGTCAACCATGACTAAATCCATATCTTCAATACCCCTCTTCTTCATTGCATCTCTAAATGGAGGGTAATCTTTAACAACAGCTTCACATTCAGCATATTCTGCAGCATCCTACAATACAAAAAAGGAAAAGAGGATTAGAGAACATCATCACCAATTATGTAATACCGAATCCAAGAACCAGAAATACAATCATAAAAAAGTGAAATCGCAGGGATTTGGTTTATATCATCCCACAATAAGAAAAGAGGAAAACATTTCACATCCAACCAAGGATCCTAACCTATACACTAACTAAAACTCGAAAACATAATTCAGAGTTCCTTGCGGATGGGTGTTTGAGACAGTTAAAAGAGCTGCATTTTTCAATGGCAGTTGAACCTGCGGAAAGTCACACCAGTTGTGAACATAGTTCATCGCAAGTTACCATAAAGAGTTACTACCACATATTTATGATTGGTCAGAACAATGGATATCATTTTAGTTTTAGCAGACATCTCCCTCTTTCTTATCTGGAGGGCCACAAGAAAACACAAATTAACAAGAATTCTTTCCCTTTGCTTTGTGTCTATCAGCACCTATTTACAAAATACACCAATGACCTCTGTCCACACACGTGACCATTAATTCCCATTGAACCCCATTACCAAATGTTTCACATACAACACAGTTTTACAGTTTTTACGTACATAAGCATGAGTTATGACCACGTTCAAATGATTATAGGTAAACCCCATTGATTCGAAACCAACAAAAATCATTTGTGAAGTGACCAGCTTCACGAAAATAGTGTCGCTGTCCTTTTTCTCAAAATAATCAGAGTACCTTCCAAGCGAAAAAACTATCAACTTTCTGCACTGCTGAACTGATCTTCTACCTATTCCAAATTAGTATACATGATGCATCGAAGACATGCTCACCATTCCCAATTTTATGTTAGGGATCATGTGAGAAATTTGATTTCTACTTCTTCACAAGTAGCAACTGGCAAGGAGTGTCAACCATCAACAAGAATATACACATAAAATTTCATACTAATTTGTTCTGCAGCCCCTTGAGTCAAAATTGCCATTATTTAACAAGATGCAGAACACCGAGTTACATGATTTAACAGTCACCTCTTAATAACCAGTGTAACAAAAACAACGAAATTCATTGATTATATATTTTTCTTTAGTACAAATAATGAAACCTAATGACTAAGAAATAAAAGAAAATATTTGCTCGAAGCCAAAACAAACATGTGGAATAAAGGCATACCATAGGTGGCTGTACATCTGGGACCACTGTGGATGAAATGACTTTTCCCCTATGATGTCCACCTCGAGTTGTTGCGTGTACTTGAGTCAGCTCAACTATCCAGATACTTGTCTCATTTGACTTTTTATTATACACAACTAGTCTTGCTCGCCTTGGTGGTAGCTTACTAGGAATTGTTGGTCCTCCTTTGGTTCTAGGCAATAATGATGGTTGGAAAGGGGGGAAGAAATAGGCATCTGCCAGTGCAACTACATGTTTCTCTGGTTCCAATAGAACCACTTCAACAAATCGCATGCTATCTCTAACCTGAAACAAGAGGAAAATATCAGGATTTGTGGAAAAATGATAAGATAAGTGTCTGATCACTCAAATATAATCACTGAAGCATGGGAGAAAGAAATTGAAGGGGAGTAATAAACCTCAGGGGTGGCACCAGCTGCTCTGACAGTTGCCACGGCTACAGATATTTCAGCAACAGATAAAGGATCCAAAGGATGGCTAGTTTGAGCCCTTGTCATGATCTGGATCCCTAAGAAACAAAAGCTTAAATTAATCAGATGAAATAGAACTAAGTGCCAATAACTTGACAAAGCTAAACATCCATCCAACCAGTACAAATTAAACACAAAGCAAAATACACGAAGTTCTCATGCTTCATGGAGGTGACTCCCTACATTACACATGGATGCAAACATTCAAAGATGTAACTATGAAGCACGTACAAGAAGGGAATTTACGTAAACAAGATGTGTTAGAATGAAATATGTACTCATGCTGATGTTTGCAGAGTTAAAACAAACATTACATCAAACAGTGTTCTCTGTAGGAACAAGAACAACCAAACATTGTTAAGAAACAGGCGATCGACTACACGCACAATCACAAAATGTGCCATTGTATTCCACTCAATAAAAATGAATCCACAACAGAAACCACAAGATGCCAAAACACACTCCCCATTTCTTCCTGGTGGAAGGGGCCGCTAATAATAAATCAATAACACATTACTCGTAGTTTTAAGTAGTGGAGGATGAACACATTGCTTCATGTAGTTCTCCAATGCAGACTGTTTTTAGATAAAATGATTCATTAATATTTACTACAACACCGGTGAAAAGCCGGGGAGCAACACAATTGCCAATAAAGCTAATGTCAACACCCTGATTATTATAAGTGGGTAGTGATTCTTTATTTTTCCTTCACCAGTTAAGGTGGTGTGAGAACAAAGTATATATTATTATTAACCTAGTGGAGTTCCAAGGAAGAGTCACACTTTCAAGATGCAGATCTTTCTTATGATCGTTTACGTTTTCAAAATTATCAGTGGAGAAAAGTTACATATTTTAATATATAGTCATAAAACATGTTGATTACTAGAAAATGAAAGTTTGGATAAGTTCTCAAGGGGATAAGACCTGAACAAACGTTGCTACACCTCTGATTAAGAAATTAAACTAATCATAATCACAAGAACAAGAACAAGGAACAAATATATATATATATATATAGACACACACACACCTTTAGCAGCAGCATTGGATGAAGGCTCGGGTCGGATCAAGGGAACCACAGAAGAATCTTTCTTTCTCTGCAGATCTTCACCGCTCCAATCAGGGGCGGCAGCAGAAGCTGCCTCACGGCGGATGATGGCTTTGCCGGCGTCTCCTCCTGGAACCCAACTCTCAGTATTAGGAGAAGGCGTCGTTTTTTTCGCAATTGTGGCCATTGTAACTGGTTCGCAAGCTCGCCCAATCCACCGTAGTAAAGCCTGTGGCAATTTACTGACATACAGCAACCACTTTACTGTTCACCACAACACCAGCACTCCGCTATCTATGGATACAAATGAGAGTATTTACAGTAGCTTGATTTATAATAGTGAAGTGATTTTTTAAATGGGTCTCTATGAGTCCATCTTCATCTATACCCTATACATTCATAGATGTAGAGTGAGAAGGGAAAATGTTTTAGAAAGAGAAAGATGGAGAAATATTGTATGCGAGCGTGAAAAGGAGAATTGCTTATTGCCCTCATATACTTATAAAGGCAGAATTGTCTTTTTACCTCTTTTATGAAGAACCTTCTGGACTACAATAAAAAAAAAAAATCAATTTAATTTTTAATTAAATTTTTTTATTTTATATAAAGTATAGTAAACTTGTCTCAATTGAGATTTTAATTGAGTTTTTAATGAATTTCATTGAAATTCTTTAAAATCTATGAATCCTTGATAATTTATGGATTTATAAGGATTTTATTAATAGAGAGATTTTAAAATATTTTGATGAATTTCAAGTTTAAAAATAAATATAACAAATTCTTATGAAATTTTATCATTTTTAATGAGATTTTTATGAATTTTGTGAAAATCTATTCAAAAATTCATGAAATTCATTAGAATTTATGATCTTTTAAAATTCATTACAATTTCAGTTGAAAACACCTCTAGTTTCATTTTTATATTTGTGAATAAAAAAAAACGATATTTGTGATTATAAGTTGAGTGTAGTGTCTTTTGGATTCTTGATCCATTTTAGACTCACTTATAAGTTGAGGGAAGATTGAAAAAATTTATTGTGGAACTTAAAGTTTGGGATCTTCTTAATTTCGTCACATTCAAAAGCGCAATTGATATATTCTTTTATCATTTTTATTTAATTTCACATACATGCAAAAATTAAAATTAGGATTCCAAAATCTATTTTTTATGTTCACTCGTTTCCAAAACCATTTCAACTGTTATTCAAGTGAGTGAGGCTGAAAATATAAGAAAAAATCTTCCAACTTCAATCAAGAAGAACACTTTTAAATTATGAAACTGAAACCAACAAAATAATCAAAAATCTAAAACTAGACAATATTTTTACATTTATATTGTCTAGTTGACTCATTTTCTTAAGAAATTTCCTCTTCTTCTTTTTTTTTTTTGTTTTATTAGAGATTTTGCAAGGTATAATAACTGTGTGAAGAAATAAAGAGGAAGTGTTATTGTTCATTACGATCATAATCTATACACAATAGTAGGTTTGGAAGGTGTTAGGCAAATTGTTGTCAAAGATCTCCCGAACAATGATGTAAAGTCATTATTTATTCAGCCGACATCGACCAAATGACTGAAGTAAAATATTGCCACCATAATTGTTCAAACCAATCGTATAACTTCTTTTGGTCATTTGAAGTAGCCTAATTTAATTAGTGTTACTCATTGCCCGACCCATAATCCGTGGATGGCTTTTTGGTCGATAACCCATTTATTTGTTACCTATTGGGCTTAATTATTATTTACCCTAAAGTCCACCTAAAACCCCTATATATATGCTGCCTCGTTACTGTTGTTGGCTGAGTGTGTGAAATTGGTTATTGGCTTCCTTTGTTTGAGAGTGAAACCGACAGCTTCTGCTTCGTGCTCCATGCTTCGTGCCTTTGTTTTCATCTCGTCCTTTAGCTTTTGTGGCCGTGATAATATTTCACGCCTTGTCCTTTGTGGGCAATCCAAGAGAGCAACCGGGTTGGGAGTTGTGGTTTACGGTTTGGGTTGAAGATTGTGGGGTTTTGATTTGGTATATAGAGGATACTGAGCCCAGAATACTTGGTGATCGAAGATTTTCATTCAACATTTGGTATCAGAGCGTTGGTTTGTGTGGATTCTGGCGATAAGTTGATCAAAAAGGGGCAAAAATTATAGCTTGAAAAACTGCCTGATTTTTCCCTTCCAAATCTGAACATGTAACTTCTTTTTCCAGCTAAACCTGTGGCCAGTTGAAGAATACAGCACCACGGGGGGCCTTTGCAGGTGGAGGGGCACCTGGGTCCATCGCGCATGGTGGTGGAACTCGCTGGCGGTGCGTGGAGGTGCGTTCGGCCTGGTCTGAGGAAACTTTCTTCAGGTAGTTTTATCCTAACAAGATTTCTAACGTGTTTGTGGTGTTAGTTTTCTATTTAAGGTGATACGGTGAAAGTTGGACGATTTTGAAAATTGAGAATTTTAGATTATTTAAAAGAGAATGAGATTTTCACGCAGTGGATTCCT